TATATATATATATATATATATATATATATATATATATATATATATATATATATATATATATATACAATACAGGCAGCAGGATGCAGCAGCAAACAGCAGAAGAAGCACCTGAAACAGATCGCGCTGCAGCTGCGCTTCTTCCTCTGCTGCTGCATACTGCTGTTGCTGCTGCTGCTGCTGTTGCTGCTGCTGCTGCTGTTGCTGCTGCTGCTGCTGCTGCAGCGATTGCCAGTGCAGGGCCTCAAACGCGCCCAAACGGTTTGCTGCCATCAGCAGCAGCAGCAGCACAGAGAGGCGCCTAGCAGCAGCAGCTGCTGCAGCAACTGTCTTCTTCCTGCAGCAGCAGCAGCAGCAGCAGCAGCAGCAGCAAATACACAAAGGCAAGTGCATCACTGTGGCAGCAACATCTGCGCAGCAGAAGACACCAGCATGCAGCAGCAGCAGCAGCAGCAATGCAGCAGCAGCGACAGAAGCAGCAGCAGCAGCTGCTGCTGCTCTTACTTGGGTGCTGCAGCACGAGCCATCGATAGAAGGGCCTGCAGCAACTGTCTGCGAGCATCCGTTAACGTTTTGTCTGGCTGCTGCTGCTGCTGCTGCTGCTGCTGCTGCTGCTGCTGCTGCTGCTGCTGCTGCTGCTGTGTTTCTGCTGCCAGCAGCTCTGCAGCCAGCCAGAGCAGCACAGCGTCCTTGTTAAGGGATTTTCTCTTGTCTGCTGCTGTCGCTCTTGTCGTTGCTGCTGCTGCTGCTGCTGCTGCTGCTTCCGTTGCTGTTGCTGCTCCCTCCTGAGACAAAGTCTCACCCGTGCTTTCTGCAGCAGCAGCAGCAGCAGCAGGAGCAGCAGCAGGAGCAGCAGCAGCAGCAGCAGGAGCAGCAGCAGGAGCAGCAGCAGCATAGCTGCTGCTGCTCATGAGGCTGAGAGCAGCAGCAAACCGCGGTGCCCGCGGAGTCTCCCAGAGCCGCAGCGCGCGCTGCAGGCTATGCCAAGCAGCAGCAGCAGCAGCAGCAGCAGCAGGTTTTTCTGCTTTTGCTGCTGCTGCTGCTGGTGCTGCTGCTGCCCGTGCTGCTGCTGCTTCAGGGCGCTGCGGCAGTAAGCCAGTGCTGCTGGCAGCTGCAGCAGCAACACACCATTCTAATGCATCTGCTGCTGCTACTGCTGCAGCCTGCTGCTGCAGCGCATGCGTTGCTGCCTTCCATAGCTCTCCAGCTGCTGCTGCTGCAGCATCAGTTGCTGCTGCAGCAGCGTCAGCTGCAGCAGCACCAAACGACCCGAGGTCCCCAATGCCTGCATCTTCTTCTCCCCCTGCTTCTGGTGGTGCTTCTGCTGCTGCTGCTGCTGCTGCTGCTGTTGCTGCTGCTGCTGCTGCTTCTGCTCCAGCAGGGCTCAGCGCCAGCTGCTGCGCTGCAGCAGACAAACTGCTGCGGGCTGCATCGATATCAATGAGCGCCTTATTCAGTCCTGCTGCTGTTGCTGCTGCTGTTGCTGCTGCTGTTGCTGCTGCTGTTGATGCTGCTGCTGCTGCTGCTGCTGCTGCTACGGGCCGCAGCTTCTCGACAGCAGCCAACAGCTTTCCCAAGGGCGCTGCAGCAAACACTGCAGGAGCAGCAGCAGCAGCAGCAGCAACAGCAGCAGGAGCAGCAACAGCAGCGGGTAGTTGCATCGTGCTGCAGGAGACTCGCAGCAGCGCAGCAGCTGCTGTCAGTGCCTCGCCTGCATTTGCTGCTGCTGCTGCTGTTGCTGCTGCAGGACCAGCAGCAACTGCTGCTGCTGCATGCACTGCCACCGCAGCAGCAGCATGAGAAAGAGACAGCAGCGGCCCCCAAGGCAGCAGATGAATATAGCTGCAGGCGTCGCGCAGCAGCTTAGATGCAGCAGCAAAGATGCTGCTGCTATCCGGAGACAGCAGCAACACCATAGATGTTGGAGCTGCAGCAGCAGCAGCTGCTGCAGCAGCAGCAGATCCTCGGTGCAGCAGCAGCGGCAATTCACGAAGCAGACCTGCTGCTGTAATCGCGACAGATGTCGCTTGCTGCTGCTCCTGCTGCTGCAGTTGCTGCTGCTCTTGCTGCTGCTCTTGCTGCTGCTTCATTGTGGCGTTGCTGCACAGCCGCAGCAACACTTGCTGCGCTGCTGCTGTTGCTGCTGCTGCTTTCTCCTGAGACATGAAGGGCCGAAGCCGCAGCAGCGCTGCAGCAGCAGCAGTCAGAGCTGCAGCAGACGAGGTGCGGCCAGTTGCTGCAGCAGCAGCAGCAGCAGCAGGTACTGCAGCAGGAAGATCAGCAGCAGCCAATCTCTGCAGCAAGTCAGAGATTGCAGGCTGCAGCAGCTCTGCTGCAGATTCACTGGATATTTGCTGCTGCTGCTGCTGCTGTTGCTGCTGCTGCTGCTGCAGCTGCTGCTGCAGCAACTCCTTTGCAGCAACTGCAGCACGAGCCGCTGTTCTCATCTCCAGCAGACCCCAAAGCGATTGCTGCGTCTCCTGCTGTTGCTGCTGCTGCGATTGCTGTTGTTGCTGCTGCTGTTCCTGCTGCTGCTGCTGCTGCTGCTGCTGCTTTTCTTGATTCGGCTCTACAGGGTCAGCAGCAGCTAACAGCTGCAGCAGATGCTGCAGCAGCAAAGCTGACGGCTGTGCACCCACAGTTTTCTCGTTGTTGCTTTTGTTGCTGCTGCTGCTGCTTTTGCTGCTGCTGCTCTTGCTGCTCTTGCCTTTCTTGCTTCTGCTGCTGCTGCTGCTGCTGCTGCTGCTGTGTCCAATGCCAGCAGCCTGAAGTGCAGCAGCAGCAGCAGCCTCGCGCTCGTCTAGCTGCAGCCGCTGCATGGCTATCAGCACATCTGCTGCTGCTGCTGCTCTCTCTGCAGCAGGCAGCAGCAGCAGCTGCGACCCAACAGCAGCAAACAGAGCAGCAACACGTTGCAGTCCTAGACGCCGCTTCCACCGCAGCAGCAGCAGCAGCTGCTGCCTCGCAGCCTGCTGCTGCTGCTGCTGCTGCTGCTGCTGCGGTTGCTGCTGCTGCTGCTGCTTGTGTACAGGCTGGTATTCTATTGCATGCAGCAGCAGCTGCTGCAGCCCCAGAGACTCGCCAAAGGAGTGCAGCAGCAGCTGCTGCACAGCAGCATCGACTCGGTGCCAGTTCCTCTCAATCCAGGCAGCAAGCGCAGCAGCAAACAAACCCAGCTGCTGCTCCGCTGCAGCAGCAGCAGCTGCTGCTGCTGCTGCTGCTGCGGCTGCTGCACGAGATCGGGACGCCACTGTACGACGCGGAGCAGCAGCAGCAGCAACAGCAGCAGCAGCAGACTCATCCTTCTGCGTGGTATAGTGACTCTGGGCGAGATGCTGTCGTGCATGCTTTTGCTGCAACTGCTGCTGCTGCTGCTGCTGCTGCTGCTGCTGCTGCTGCTGCAGTAGCTGAGCAGACAGCTGCAGCTGCTGCACAAGGCGATGGGCTTCTGTCAGCAGCAGCAGCAGC